GTGGCTCTCCTTCCAGAATGTATTCCTTAAATTTCCATCTGCTCTTCTCTCTGAACTCTGTTGTGGCCTCCATGAGCTGGAAGAATGTCGTTTTCCACTGCCAGATCTAGGGGGCTTTGGAGCACCTCCAGCAAGAAAGTCATTAATCCTCAGTTCTTAGCCAACCACGGTAGTCATTCAGCAGCAAACTCTTGTCATGTTTCTGCCTACCTTTGGTCATCTTCTAGAACATTCCATTAGTTGTTTTTAATAATCTGGCCAGTGTTTGTCATCGTTATCTGCTGGAGGAACTGCCTGACCTCTTTGACCAGCCATTACTTGGAGTACCCGGGACTATTTTAACAGCCTTCCATCCTGTCTTCCTGCATCCACCCTCACCCTCAATTTCCCAGACAGAAGCTAGTGTCACCCCTGGGATATGAAATACACCCATCATAACCCCTCACAAAGTCCTTGCAGAGATTTCCACTTCACTCAGAGCAAAAGCCAAGCCCTCAGTATGGTCTGCAAGTCCTGTACGAAGCTGCCCGAAGCTGCCTCTCAAACCTCGTCTCCCATCAGCCTCATCCGGACGGCTCTGCTGTGCTTCCAACACCCCCAGCATGTTCCACTGGGCACTTGCTGTCCACTCGGCCTGACTCTCTTCCCTCAGATACCTGCAACACCGGCTCCCTCACTTTTTTCAAGTCTCTGTTCAAATTCTGTTCTGTTAGGGAAGACTTCCCTGATCACCTCATACAAAACAGCATCTCTCCACACCATCTTTTTCACTTACCCTCCCCGGAACATGTGTATAAACACACACACAGGTTTCTCTGTATCTGTCTTCACAAAAACATGGGCTGCATGCAGGCAAGGACTTTGCTGTGTTCGGTATCATAACTGAAGGGTCTGGAACAGGGCCTGGGAGGTGGGAGGTGCTCAGTAAACAGTAGCCAAACGAGTGAATGGGTTAAGTGCTTCGCTCTGTTAGGCATTATTGTCCACCCTTATGTATTCATTCGTGCAATGTTCACAGCACCTCATCGGGCGGGAAATGTGATTAACCCCACCTTGCGATGAGGGACTGAGGCACAGGGAGTGGACGCCCAAGCTAACCAAGCGAGTAAGCAGTGAGGCCAGGGCTTGAACCAGGCAGTCTGTCTGCAGGGCCCCATCACATTAGGCTGCTCAAGGTGCCATAACAAAATACCACCGGCTGGGTGGCTGAAACAACAGAAATTTATTTGTACAGTTCTGGAAGCTGGAAGTCCAAGATCAAAGTGCTGGCAGTGCTGGTTCTGTGGTGACGCCTCTCCCCTTGGCCTGCAGATGGCTGCCTTCTCACTGTGTCCTCAGTAGTTTTTCTTTGGGTGCACTCGCCTAGTGTCTCCTCTTCCTAGTGGATTAGGACTCTACCTTTTTGACCTCATTTAACCATAATTACTTCCTTAAACACATTATCTCCAGATATCACATTGGAGGTTAGGGATTCAAATTATGACTTTTGAGAGGACACAATAATCATAATTTATGCCCTTCAAACATCAGCACCAAATGATTATGCCGAACATCTGCTAGTGGACGTCCACACACTGTGCACTAATTTAGTGCAGCTCTGGGAACCACCTCCTTTGTAACTCCTCACACGGAGCCGGCAGAAAACCCTACTTCTGGTGAGTCCCTAACGGAAATCTGCTCCGGTCTCTTCGCTCCTTGAACACATTGTGCCCTCCCACCGCAGGGCCTCCACACTCCCTGATCTCACAATCTGGAATGCTCTCCTTCCAGACAGCTCCATGACTCATTTTTCTCTTTATTTAGATTTTCCCCCCCAGAGTTATCTCCATTAAATTTTGCTGGAACAACCTACTCACAACTGCAAGCATACTTTCCCCTAGCATGTCCCCCTACTTCTCCCTTTGCTACTTAAGTCTTCTCTGAGGCACTTTAAAAAAATTATCTATCTTTTCCCTGTAGAACATAAGCAAGATGAAGGTAGGATTTTTTTTAC